GTCTCCTTTTCTTTTGCACATGGAGATAATGAAATGATCACCCCAAAAAAAAAAACCTACAAAATCTTGTTTAAATAGCTGTATAATTAACCCAGCTTGTAGAAAGTGTAAACTTTATGATTTCAGTCTCTGCTTAACTTTTGAAACTGTGAAAATTCTTAGCTAACATTTGAGAGAGGGAAAAAGTTTTATTTCATTTTCTGTTTTATATGAATACAGCAATGTATCATCTGCTATCGTCAAAATTAGGTCTGAAGTGGCAGTAACAATGTCTGAAATACCATATTTTCATGGAAGTTCTACTTAACACTTGCCACTGAGCTTTAATGATTGCCTTGACTGTCTCTGTTCAAAAATTGGCAACTTTACATCTCTACTTTACAAGAATTCATGATATCTTCAGTGGAAGCTAGTTTATATAAATAGTGAATAACATTCAGCATCAGACAAACACTCATGTTTTTATGTAACATCATTGCATTGGAGTGGTGTCAATGTGTTTTAGTGATTAATAGTGGCATTAGCTTTGATATTGCATTAACCTTGTGATAATGTATTAGTAATAGCCGTGCATGCTAGAATACTAACCCTGTACATGCATGTGCAGATTTTGCAGTTCTAAACTTGTGCATGAACTTAAGGTCAAGGACTGTAATATTGTTGTCAGGTCTAAAAAAAATTCAGGTCAAGGGCTATAATGCCAATGTCCTGTTTTAACTTTTGTCATATACATGTATCTAGTAGGGTAGGAAATTCTTTTCACACACTAATGCACATAAATACTCAATTACTGAATTCAAATTGCCACCTTAATTAACACTTTTAATACACTTCCCTGGTGAAAGGTATATAATTAACATCCCCAAAATAGTGTATAAATTATCCCATGTAATTGTCACAGATACTGTACGAAGGTTTCATTAAATTTCAGAGATCTCCTTTCGTACGAGAGAGTATCAAAGGACAGCAGGTGATGTTTACTTATTCCCAACTGATCAAAACAAAATTAATCCTTTAAACAAAAGCAACAGTTCCTTTTATAAAAATCACAAAATCATCAGCATGCTTATAGAAAAGAAAAGAATTGCTTTGTATACACAGAATAGAGAGTTGCAATAGCATGTGTTCCTTTTATGTAATGCTTCATTTACCATCAAAGAGTTTCTTGTTGCTTGTGTAGCTTTTAAAATCTGCAGTTCACCCAATCACTATCCACTGTGCAAATCAATGAAAAAAGAGCCAAGAGTTAATAAAACCCCTGTTTTTTTTCTCCCCTTTTACAGATCAGTTCCACACCAACCCGTTCTACAATGCCCAAAAAATTAACTTCCTCCCAGACCTCATCTTCTTCCTCGTCTTCAGCCAAGAACAGCTCCATTCACAGTAGTATTCCCCGCCGGACAGGCCGCAGTGAGACCTTTAGCCCGGGGGATGTTCGTTCCCAGCCATCCCAGGAAAAACCAACCCGCACAACTAACGGCCAGGATCTCAGAGGGTATACAATGTTTTAACATTCATGAACTTTAGAAGAAATATTTTCTTCTTTGAAATATTCTGTCTAGTATATAAATGCTATAGGACTGTTGATAGAAGTGTAAACTTTGTTCATTTTAAATACACTTAATTCATATGTATGTATGATTTATGAAAAAAAAAAAATATTGGATAAAAGATATGTTGTTTGTAGACCAATGTCCAATTCGACTGGTGGTACAGAGAATCCATCTGTCCGGCCTAAAAGCCATGTGAAGTCTGCAAGTTTAACACAATCCCAAGTGGCTCGCGTCACAGACCTACCTCCTCTTAATGATGGCGACAATTTTCGACCAACGTAAGTGGTGCACAATAGAAGATAGGTATTCCTGGTAATCGGATTAAAATCATATAGCCATGTAGTAAGATAAACTAACTGTTCCTGACCTAAATTACAGCTATGTGTGTGTTTATTAGTGTAGCATTAAATGTTCTAACACATTTGAAAGATTTTGAAGAGCTAGGTGGCAGAACTTGTTGAGACACGATTACACACTGCAGTAAACATATAACCTTATATGATTTGAAGAGAAAGTTCAACACTTGAGGGTGTAAAAATCAAAAATGAATAAGGGTGAAAAATTCAGAATTGGAGATTTAAGGGTGAAAAAATCAAATATGGAAATCTTTGGTGGTAGTTTAGCATTTTGTCCTATATAAATGCTCCCTGTTTTTTAGGACTGCCCCTGGAAAAACTTTACCTGTTTCTCCTGTACCACCCAAAAGTTATCTGAATAGAACTGTTCTCAGAAACACATTCCACGGTGGTCCAGTGAGAGACAGACGGCAGCCCAGAACTTACAATGGACCCGATCACACTCAGGACACATCTGCTATGAATGCGGCAGGTCGCATGTCATTTTTCAATAAACTAAGTCAAAAATTCAGTCGAAGGTATGTATGCTTGAAAAATGGATGCATGGGTCTTATCTCTTGGTAAAGCTTAAAAGTGCTTTTTTTCTATGTAAGGTGAATGCTATTTTATATAATTTGAGGACAATTTAGGAATAAGCAGAGACATTATATATAATCAAGAAAGGTTTCATTTGATAACAGATTTATCACTATGATTGTGAACTTCATCCCTTTAAAGTCTTGCCGTATATATAGAATACTTAATTTGATATTAAATAGTAAAATAATCTGAGATCTTGTTTAAATTAAGTAACATGAGGAGAATTCCCTCTTTTTTATTTGACTCTTTTTTTTTGCATTTTATCTGTACAGTTTATGTTTGCATCATAGCATTGAAATAAGTGCATACACACTGTTCATGATACCTGTTATTTTTGGCTTCACTAACTTGTGTATTATCATAGAGAGAACTTGTATTGCCATAGTTGTATTGGTTCACATTGTACAATTATACATGGTTTATTGATTCTTCATCTCGGGGCTATAATCACAAGTGTGTTGACCAAATGTGATAAAGAAAAAGGTTGCATGTATTCCCTCATGGAGAAGCATTCTTCCATTAATGTAGAGACTTGTAGATAAAATTAGGAACAGATTCCGATTGTTGGCTGTGGGTGCTGAATGCAGCGTTGTGGTTTCGGGGTTGATCTGGATCACTAGTATTGCACCAGTACTGTTTTTTTTTTTTTCTTCTCTTCTTTTTTTTTCACAAACTTTGAATCTCATCATGAAAATAAATCTGATGACTTACTCACCCTCTTTTTCTTTAGCTTTTAATTATGTTGCTGCTGTGTGTGAAGAATTGATTTATGAGATAAAAAAAAAAATTCTCTCTCTATATATATACAGTTCTACATTGGTCCAATCATATTTCAGGGAAAACACAACTTTGAGTGGGGAGAAGGTGGATCAAAAGTCATTGAGTCGTGAACTGTACGTGTCCACTCTCAAGTACCTATATTATTTCATTAATTATTGTGAAATTGAGAAAGAAATTCAAACTCTGCCAAACTGATGATTGGAGTTTATGTTAACTACTGGCAGATTGCTAGAAACCATGTATAATTGTTGTATTTTATTTTTTTTTTCTATATTTATTGTCATGGTATTCAGTTTGATCTTAAATATAAAGTATAAACTAACATCTTTTTTTATCTTGGCTACCCTCACAACACTGAGACCTTAGATATCTGGAGTACATATATATATTCAGAGCACACATTCTAATCGGACAATATCTTATACAGCTGATTCTTAGATCTGGAAATTCACTGGCCTGTAAAAGTGGAACAGGGACATTATCTATAGGTGTATTGACACCTTGGTTACCTATTATATTTGTAATGCAAGACAGAAGTTTGCATGTGTGTTGTTCTTAACTTTGTTACAGGCTTATTTTGATGTATCATGTTAAAACTTTGGAAGTGAAAATTTAAAAATTAAAAAAAAAAAAAAATAAATAAAATAAAATAAAAAAAAATGAATTTAAAAAAAACAAAATTTAATATAAATAGTGACGAACTGATGATTGAAATTATAGAAATAGCAGTTATTATTAAGGAAAATTATTAATTTGCTACATATAGTGTATACTTCATTTACTTTAATTTTAAGAATACATATGATAATCCTTAGCATTAGGTCAAAGGGATCTTACTGGGCAAGGTTTATGATAGAATATTCACCTCAAAGACCTTTCTGATATTGGGGTAATGGGAGTCAGCTGTATTTTCAGTCTGCTTATCCATACTTCCTTTATAGTATATCAGGTGGAAGACATTTATCTCATTTCACAAAATTAATTCTCACAATTTCTTCATGGCTTTTATTGTGAATCTTTTGGTTTTCTTGAATAACTCTTGATCAGGGAAGATAAAAATTTACACCAAAAAAAAAACTTGAAATTCTCCTAAAATACTTTCAATATATCTGAAAATTTTAGAATGTGTATCTAGACCAAAATTATACTAAAATCATGTGTATTCACATGCATGAAAATGATGCTACTCAAAAAGTATCAATTGCATGGTGCAAATTATCAAATATATGGAGTATGATATCATAGCAGAGAAAAATATCCATGAATTTGACTTTTGGATGTGTTGCATGAAGCGTTTGATCTTTGTGACTCTTTACTAATTGAATTCTGTCATCAAGTGCCAGTGTTGGAGGGATAGCCATACATTAAGTATTACATTGTTGTAATTTTCAGCAAATTGTTCCGCAGGTCAGTAGCAGAGGGACAGTCCGACAACCCAATGGTCAAACCCAGGTCACTGAGATTCACATGGAGCATGAAAACCACTAGTTCAATGGACCCTAATGACATGATGAAGGAAATAAGGAAAGTGTTAGATGCCAACAACTGTGATTATGAACAGCGGGAGAAGTTTTTGTTACTGTGTGTACATGGGGACCCTAATACAGACAGCTTAGTGCAATGGGAAATGGAGGTCTGTAAGCTTCCAAGACTCTCCCTCAATGGGGTACGATTCAAACGGATTTCAGGGACCTCTATAGGGTTTAAGAACATTGCTTCAAAAATTGCCAATGAACTTAAACTGTGATGCCATGTTAAAGTGCTGGAATGTTGAACGATTTGTTTGAGGAACATGAAGCGGGCCACATTGGGATGGACCAGATCCCAAAGGCGTGTGAGAGTTTGTCGGTGGACAGATTATAGATATTAACTCGTCTGTGGTAAAATTTATATAACAATCGCATTAACAGATTTTTATTTTGTACAAATGTGTAAAGAACATATAAAGTATTTGTATGATAAAATAAATGGAGCCCACGCAGAAAGCTGGGTTGATAATGTGTACACAAGTATGTATATTTAAGACTGTGTAAATGGAAAAAAAAAAAAGAATGGTGTGTGAGTGTGTAAGTTATGAACTTTGAGGGATGGGCACAGATGGATGGTTATTGCCCTTCACCTGCTAAGTCATATCAGAACCAGCTGTACTATCTTCAGAAAGTAAATTAAGATGATATGCTTTATCAGTAAATATAAGTAAGATGGGACTGAATCAACTTCTTTTTGCAACAGTTCTTATGGGGGTGATGAGGTATTATTTGAAATGCTTGGGCTTGTAAACTGTGATATCATGTGAAAGTGCCATCCCTCTAAGTGTCAGTTGTCTAGTGCAATTTACTTTCCAAAGGTAAAAATTGTGAACAAATGATACAGGCAGTGTTCTTTTAAGAATTTTTTTTTAATCATGTCTGCATGTGTTTGCTATATGCTTCCATGAAAGAGTTTTAACCTTCATAATACCTAGAACAGATAGCTTTGGCATATCCATGCTTACAGAATATAAAAGATGGTATTTCAAGCATAATGTTTTGTATCAGTCAGAGACAGTCACATTTTCTTATTATTTTCATGGACAAAATTTGATTCAAAGTACAAATGAGATTAAATTTGTAGAAGTAGTATGCAGTATTCTGCAGGGGTTGAATACTAGCATAAACTTGACAAAACTACAGTTTTTCTTCTGTTTTCAGTGTAACTGTGTATACACTTGGATGTTTAGTAATTGCACTCTTGTCAAACAATATTTCTTTGTTAGTAAGCCTGTTTTGTTGTATATCATTTTATATTAATCAAACTAATTAACAAAGATCAATTATTATTTTTTTATTTGATAAACAACAAGTTGAAGTTGTGTTCATGTAATTTGAAAATAGCCACCTTCTATTTATAATTAAAACATTAATATGTTTAGGTTAAGGTTGAAATGATGAGCACTTTCTGGATACAGTGATTTTCTTTTACTTTCTTTGGATGATTTTCAGCTTTCTGTTTGCAAAACAGGTTGGTCTGCATTAAGTGTTGTAGACAAGATCACCATGTACATGTACCAAGCAATAGTGCCAAGAAAAGTCATTTTTCCAGTTTTATATGCATCACTTGCACATGCAATTTTCAGAGGTGAATTTGTTGACTGATTGTTCATAATTTTACTTTCAGCAAATGCCACTGTGTGACAACTCCTTGATTAAAGTATCTTGCAGTTTATTTAAATTGAGATCTTTGTTACAATTCTTGGACCAATAATGGTGAATTTAGTTCTCTGACAGTATTTTTGTATGTTACAATAATTTTTGCATGAAATGCATTTTTTTGAAAGGCTTCTTTTCTTAATAATTCTTTTTAATAAAAAAAGAAGAAAAAAAGACAAGTAGGATTTATTTCAGCCATGTCTTTAATATGTATAATTTATTTCTACTTAAATTATTTTTTAGGAAAAATTAGTTGGTACCTGAGTAATAATTTTGTACAGGAGCTTATTTGAAGCAGTACTTAAATTAATCTGCAAGTTCACATGAATTCCACTCAGGAAGGGAGCTTTTCTTCATTTTTGTCTCACTTTATCATGCACAACAGGGTGTTAGGAAGGTACACATGTGGTCATGGAGAATGTGATAAATGACAGGTTTTTTATTTTGACATTTGAGACTTGTTAGCGATTCATAATCTGTACTCAGGCATCTCAATAGATTGTATTGTTTTTATGCTTTTTTGAGTCATTTAAATGTGGTCTAATATTAAAGGGATGTAACATTGTATGTAACCCCCAATATGCATGGAAACAGGACAATCTGATTTTGATGTCTGGACATTGTTGTTTGTTACCCAGAGTTCACCCTATCAGAAATTTAATCTTTTTATCAATTGTCATACAGTTACTTTTAGTTCATCATGATAAATAGTGAACAGGCAATTAAAAATTTCATGAAATGATGGAAATTGTATGTTCTTTTTTTCTGTAAAAACCTGGTTTAGGAAGAAGACATCATTGTTCATGGTAAATAGAATGTTCTATCATTAAAATGATAAATGTCCTAAGGACCCGGTTTAACTGTGGTGAGGGCCTGTCCCAAGACACAGTAAGATTATTCTAACTATGTTCATGGGGGATCAGTGTTCATGGATTTTGTGGGTAACCCTACCCACTAATATACATCCTCACAAACATTGATACACACTTACAATGAGTACAGTAGAGTTGTTTATCTAATCCAACATACAATTTATCAATGAAAATACATCCACACAAACCAGTAGAATTTTAGTTACCCATGAACATTGATCCCTGCAAATGGTGATTCAACAGAATTAAGTGATTCTGAAACTTCTGTCATGGAGTGGATTTGCAGATTATTATAAGCCTGTTAACAATCTGAGAGTCTAGTGGCTTTGTGATTCTCCTAAAAACAATGTATGTTCTTTAGATCCTTCACTGTTTAATTTCAAGTGTACATTTGCTTCATAAACTAATTTGTGGGCCCTTTTGACAGTGGATTAACAGGTCAGGTACACTACCTTCTATGGAAGGCACTTTTCATCACGTGACTATGTTTTCGTCAAACCAATTCCCCAATCAATTGAAGGAATCGCAAAGCATGACGGGCTACTACATGTACATGTTTACGATTCAACAGCGACGTGGATTTTGTCGGTCTACTGCATAATATTTACTTGGTCACCGGAAAAAATGTACTGTTTCTTTTTAGGTTACCTGAGTCACTCAGGTGACCTATTGCTATCCGTTTTCGTCCGTCGGCGTGCGTCGTGCATTAACTTTTGAACATTTTTAACTTCTTCTCCAGAACCGCTTAACCAATTTCAACCAAATTTGGTATATAGCATCTATGGGTGAAGGGGAACAAAAAATGTGAATTTCATGGTCCCTGCCCCCCTGGGGCCTGATGGGTGGGGCTAAAACCACCAAAATTAATGCAATCTTTAAAAAACTTCTTCTTTACTGCTGGACATCAAGCAGTCAAACTGTTGGCATGATTGTAATGAGCATTGAACCCTCTACCAAAATTGTGAAATTCATGGCCCCAGGGTCAGGGGTTCTGGTGCTAGGGTGGGGCTATATAGATCATATAGTGAAAGTGCATTATTTCTTTGAAAATCTTCTTCTCTGCTCCTGGGTATCAAATAAACAAATTAAGTACATAGTTATTAAGGGCAAGAGTGCCTCTTCCAAAATTGTGAATTTCATGGCCCCAGGGTCAGGGGTTCTGGTGTTAGGGCGGTGCTCTATTGATTATTTAGTGAAAATGCATTAATTCTTTAAAAATCTTCTTCTCTGTTCCTGGGTATATTAAATAAACTAAACAAGTATATAGTTATGATGAGCAAGAGTGCCTCTTCCAAAATTGTGAATTTCATGGCCCCAGGGTCAGGGGTTCTGGTGTTAGGGTGGTGCTCTAATGATTATTTAGTGAAAATGCATTAAATCTTTGAAAATCTTCTTTTCTGCTCCTGGGTATTAAATAAACTAACTAAGAACATAGATATGATGAGCATGGCTGTCTTTTCAGAAATTGTGAATTTCATGGCCCCAGGGTCAGGGGTTCAGGTGTTAGAGTGGGGCTCTATTGATTATTTGCATTAATTCTTTGAAAATCTTCTTCTCTGTTCCTGGGTATTAAATAAACTAACTTAGTGCATAGTTATGATGAGCATGGTTGCCTCTTCCAAAATTGTGAATTTCATGGCCCCTGGGTCGGGGTGTTGGTGTCAGGGTGGGGCTCAATTGATATATATATAGTGAAAATGCATTATTTCTTTGAAAATCTTCTCTCTCCTGGATATTAAATAAACTAAGTACATAGTTATGATGAGCATGGCTGCCTCCTCAGAAATTGTGAATTTCGTGGCTCCTAGGTGAAGGGTTCTGCTGTTAGGGCGGGGCTCTATTGATTATATAGGGAAAATGCATAAATTCTTTCAAAATCTTCTTCTCTGCTCCTGGGTATTATTCAAATAAAGAAAGTGCATGGTTATGATAAGGAAGAATGCCTCTTCCAAAATTGTGAAAATCATGGCCCCTGGGTCAGGGTTCTGGTGAAGGGGGGAGGGGCTCTATTGATTTTATAGTGAAAATGCATAATTTCTTTCAAAATATTTTTTCTACTACTGGTAGTAAAGCAAAGTTCTTCTTCCAGAATTGTGAGTTCATGGCTCCTGGATAAGATGTTCTGGTGTAAGGGGGGGGGGGGGGGGGCTTTATTTATTTATAATTATATAGTGAACATGCATTTCTTTGAAAATCTTCTATGCTTCTGGGCATATTCGAGGCAAACAGAGTAAAATTTTAGTTTGCAAGGGTATTTTTATCAGAGACCAATGTGAGAAGTAGTAATTTGGGATTAAAAATAGACATTTTGTTAATAGTCTGCATGGTAATAGTGTTAAATGGGGGACAGATAGATGCTATACCAATTATTCTGTTGATGCTTATCATACTATTTTTCTTGCTTTTGGGCAACATTTAAAGCTTCATTTATCAGTTTATGGATCCTCTAAATTGTTGTATTGTACTCCGGTGACCGTTAAGGCCATTGGGCCTCTTGTTTACTTTATAAGGCTGACATTGAAAGATTATATTCCCAAAGACACTGTTCCATGCTCACATTTGATATTGGAGTTGTTTTAGATGATTAATACACGTAGTTGCTTCCAATACTGTACAAACGCTTTGACGTTTGAATGTATATAAAAACATTTTGATGATATTGAGGAGCTAAATAATAATTGCGCACATTACACTGCTGTCTAAAACTATGTTCGTGTATATCACATGTAAAAAATACACTCACTGCTTTATAGACACAATAGCACCTACGTCTCTTTGAACAATAGTTTACGCCTTTGTATTACACATGTACAAGTTGATATAAGGCTTCTTAAAGAAAATTTTGTAAATGTGAGCATAGAAATGAAAGATAATACATCATTTCCAATATTTCTTTCAGTAATATCAAAAAAGAATTGAAAATGAGTTTCCAAGGGACAATTAAATTTCCACTTTATTTTCAATACACCTGAGTTTGTGTTGATACTTGTAGTAGCCCACAATGCATTGCGACTCATTCAAGAGTCGGTAAAGTAAACAGATAGCTAATTTACATGCAAATTTATGCCGACGTCAGAAAATCTAGTGGTCTTGACCTGATTAAGATTGAAGTAGAATGGACTGTATAAAATGTGAATGATTTTGGCTTTCCTTGACAAATTGATCTGAGAAAAGGCATTTGAAATGAAAATACTTTGAAAATCTCTGTTCTTGGGTATTTAATAGACAAAGTGTTTGATTAAAGTGAGCAAGAATATCTTAACTAAAATTGGGAAATTCTTGGGTTAGGGGTTCTGGGGAAGAGTTTGGCTCTTAATCATGCAATGAAAGTGCATTAATTCTTTGAAAGTCATCTTCTCTGCCACTTGGTGTTAAGTAATCAAACCAAGTGCATGATTATCATGTGCAAGAGTGCCTCTTCTAAAATTGTAAAATTCATAGCCTCTGGATTAGGAGTTCTGGAGTTAAGTAATGTATTGAACAAACAGTGAAAATGAATAATTTCTTTGATAATCTTTTCTGCTCCATGTAATTAAGCAGGCAAACTAAGTGCATGGTTTTAATGAGCAGGGGTGTCTCTGCAAAAATTATGAAATTCATGGTTCCAGGGAGGTGTTCTGGAGTCAGGCTGGGGCTCCATTACACTCATGTATCAAAAATTTTATCCAGCTGTAAGAAAAGCTAATCTCCTTTGTCATTCACCTATTATAATTAATCTCTGTAAAATAATGTTATTTATAGGTAAATGAATTATTCTGTAACAGATGTTGATTATAATCAGACTAACTATTCTGTTGAACACTCACTGGCCTTTTCCTCAGGTTTTGAAGCAACATATCTTTGTCTATTGGTTTATTTTGTTTCCTAAATCACCATATTCCAAAGATTCTTTACAGAGTTCTTTTATACTAAGTTGATTGTTAAGGCCCTTGGGCCTCTTGTCATGTTCAACCTTTGTTGATCATTTGCTATGTAGGACTTCCCATGCCTCGTCTAAGATGGAAAAGTAGTTCCCATGGTTGGAGAATGTTGCTGTATAAGCAGAATTTATAGCAAGGATTCAGTTTGAGCATTATTAGGGAGAGTTTTGAGACCCCTAAAATTATAAATAGCAATTCATTTTGTTTTAAGGGTAATAGTTATCTTTCGTAGCAATTTAATGTCAATAAATTCTCACTAAAAACCTATTTCAAATGAAGACAAATCGCTAAATTTGAGCCTTCCTCAAACTGATATGGAATCCATGATCAATGGAAAAAAATGAAAAGCAAAATCTTATAATGTCATTCACTTTTTTATTTAAATTGACTAGTATTTAAGACAATCATCATAAAAAAATGTAATATTGATGTTATGTAGTAAATATCACTAGAAAATATCTTTTTGCATGGTTAATGAATGCATTCTTTCACTGGCAACAAAATACATTCTTTTTGGTTCAAAACCATGTTTGGGTTCATCCTTATTTAAATCCTAAGAATTTCTTTATTGTCGATCTTAACGTTTTCTTCTTTGGCATACAACTGGACTTCTGAAAATTGAAATAGTCATTCAATTACAAATCCTTTATGAATTTTAGATCCTACAAGCCCAATCATTAATAAATCAGGAATCATAAAATGGATAACAAACAATAGGAATTGTAAACATAAAAGCTGAACATGACTTGTAAATACTCAATATTAGTTTTCTTACATAAGAATTATCAGCAGTATGGTATACCAAGTGAGAGGCATATATAGGGGCTCAAGAAATAAAGACAAATAAAGAAAAATATGGCAGGCAAAGATAAACCTCTTCCTTTTACGAGTTGTATTCAGCTTTTTTTAGGAAGAAAATGCTATAATTGCTAAAAATCATTACGTACCTCATCTAAAATAGGTGTAGTTTCATTTATTCTGCTCTCTGAATTTCTATTTTCTTGCACAACCTCAACATGCTGAAATAGAAATATTCTGTGAATTCTAAATGGAAATTCATAAATGCATGATTACACTGTTTCTAGTATTTCAGGTGAGCTTTTCTGATCACCCGTTGTCCGTCGTCTGTCTGTAAACTTTTCCCATTTTCAACTCCTTCTCAAGAACCACTGGGCCAATTTTAACCAAAATTGGTACAAAGCATTCTTCGGTGAAGTGGAAACCCCTAGAAGGGGAGATAATCAAGAAAAGACAGAAATAGGGTGAGGTCATTAGAAAATCTTCTTCTCAAGAACCCCAGAGCCAGAAAAGCTGACACTTAAATTGGGAATCATCCTGGGGGTAGTGTAGATTCTAAATTGTTCAAATCATGAAGTAACTCAGGTGAGTGTTGTGACCCATGGACATCTTGTTATTTCCATTGATCAACAAGAAAAAAAACATCTAATCAGCAATGATTTTTCTCTGATGGATCAGAAGTTTAACTTTTGGCACTCATCAAAAGTTTTCTATAGACTTAAACTTTAATTGAAAGTTTTAAATAATTTCAAGAAGTTATTTATGGAACTATAAAAAAAGAAATGAAATACTTTTCAAATTATACTTAACAATCTATCCCATAATCTTACCTTGTGATCAGTTTTGAATGTTTCTATGTTAAACAGGAATAGTTTCCTGGGTACAAATAGTTCTGGTTCTTCATCAAGTAACTGTTGACAGTCATGATTGCAAGTGCCCTGCAACACAAAGAGCATGTCTTAATTAGAGCTAAAATACATAATAAAGATTACTTTCAAAAGTAACATCTCAAGATGTATTTAAGATGTATAAATAGAGTCCTGGAAAATAACCACTTTTAACAAAAATTACTCACATTTTTGTTAACGGATTCTTTCAAATGTTTTAATTTCCTCCCTTGAAATTTGTTTGTCTTTGCATCTACAGTTACCTATAAAATGAAAAATTCGTCATGTATACTGTACATTACAGCATTCTTGTTAACACCTACATACAAGTACATTGTATATACAGCTACATGTACATGTAAACTCTCCAATACTCATTAAAAAATGAATAAATTTCCAAAACTAAACTGCCAAACATAATAATGAGTTTAAAAAATTGCTGACAGTTGGTCCCTTTGAGTTGCCCTAATATTTTTTTAAGTCATGAAGTACAATTACTTTGTTTCTTTATCAAAGCACAAAACAAGAAATTGAGAACATACATAATTAAATGAAGATTTTACCAATAACTCCTTGTGAATTGCAATCCACTTTGATTTTTCTGATTCCATAGACTGTCTTCTCTGCTGTATATTTGATGTCACTCCCTGAAAAAAAAATGATCAGAGTTTGCTAGACAAAAGAATTACATCCATCAATGTAAATTGAAACTTATTTATGCAGTCTAAAAATATCGAATAATACACCATTTATTTGGTATGACAAAGATTACAAAATTGAAAACATACCATCAGCTCTCTCTGAACCTTTGTCCATATTGTCTTAACTTTTTCCATCATTAGTCTTCTTTTAGCATTGGATGCTACATTCTGAGAAAAAAAAAATATTTAAAAAATCAAATATATACAGAAATTAGTATCTATTAATGGTATCTCTTTCTGAATTGCCCTTATATAATAGTATGTCTATAGTAAAATAAAAATAGTCATACTTTAAAAAACATATATAGATTAAAGAGTGAGAGCTATTATGAGTGGTACACTTACCTGAAGCTCTTTCAACATCTCTTGTCCAAATTCTCTCTGTCTTTGTCTCTGTTTTCTTTGTTTTTCTTTTTCAGACCAAATTGTCTGCATAAATATTGTGATGAGATTAGGACAAAGTCAAATTCTTAATTCAAATTAAAACATAAAATATGCAAAACATATAACTTAACAAATATTTAAATTGAAGATTTTACCATTAACTCCTTGTGGACAGCCTTCCTCTTTGATTTTTCCAATTCCGTTCGTCTTTTTCTGTCGTTCCTATTTGATATAACATCCTAAATAAAATAAGATTTTCAAAATTAAATTAAACAATTGTTATGCAATAAAAATCACTAATAATTGGTATTCTAGAATTGACCTCATTTTATTTTGAAGTGTTTGTCATGACATCTAATAGGTTTTTTTCTTTCATCAAAGTTCAAAAAACATGAAATTGACAAAAATATATTATTAGGCAATTAAATGAAAATTTTACCAATAACTCCTTGTGAATTGGAATCCACTTTGTTTTTTCTGATTCCATAACTTGTCTTCTCTGATTTCTATTTGATGTTACTTCCTGGAAAAATGATCAGAAATTGTAAAACAAATTAAGTCTTACAAATAATAAGATAAAGCATTAATTAGGTACATGTTTGGTTACATACAAAAAAAAAGTACATGTACCATCAATTCTTGGAGAACCTTTGCCCACATTGTCTTTATTTTTTCAATCATTAATCTTCTGTTAGCGTTAGTGGATGCCACTTTCTGAAAAAAATATTTAAAAGAAAAAAAAATCATAGATTACAGAGTGTGATTATCTTTTTTCTGAATCTCCTTCATATAAAAAAAAATATTAGCATAATATAGTCATTTATATGGTCAAATAAAAATAGCTAGATTTATAAACACATAAAATTATGAAGTGAAGGCTAATATGGGTGGTACATACCTGAAGCTCTTTCAACATCTCTTGTCCAAATTCTTTCTGTTTTTGTGTCTGTCTTCTTTGTTTTTCTATTTTAGACCAAATTATCTGCATAAAAATTGTGCTGAGATTAAGACAAAGTCAATTCGCAGAGCAATGCACAAGACATTTGCAAAAACATATACCCAGTAACAAAAATTGAAGAATTTACCCCCAACTCTTGGTGAACTTCCTTCCACTTTGTTTTTTCAAATTCCATTAATTTGTTTCTGTTTATTCTGTTGGATGTCACTCCCTGAAAAAACATGATCATTGAATGAAGTAGTACATGTATATGTTTTTTTTTACAGGCAAATAAAGCTAGCCTGACGAAAATATAAACACGTTAAAACTATTATGGGTGGTGCACTAACCTGAAGCTCTTTCAACATCTCTTGTCCAAATTCTTTCTGTCTTTGCATTTGTTTTCTTTGTTTTTCTTTTTCAGACCAAATTATCTGCATAAAAAATTTCGATGAGTTAAGGACAAAGTCAAATTCTTAGATCAAAGCACAAAACATGGAATAGGCAAAACACATAACTTCACCAAATTTAAGATTTTACCACCAATTCCTGGTGAACTGCCTTGAACTTTGCAATTTTTGATTCCATTAATCGTTTTCTCTTGATTCTATTGGATGTCATTTCCTGAAAAATATAAAACAATAACTCATGAATTCTACATTTTAAACATCCATCATTTTAATCTGAAAAATTGAAAGTTTTCTTTGCAATATATGAGAATTATACCTTCAATTCGTCTAGCATGTTTTGAATGGTCTTAATCTGTGGCCGCATTTTTTTAAGTTCGAGTTCCACTTTCAATGCATTTTCCTAAATTAAAAGAATTTTAAGAATAAAAGTATAGCAACATATGAATAGTGGACAAAATGGAGCAAATATAAAAAAAATTGTGCAGATCATATTAATCTATAAATACATGAATTGATTTCAATTCTCAAAAAAACAGGCCCGTACGTAGCAACGGTTTAAAAAGTTGGGGAGGGGCAACTTCCCAAAAAAAATCAGAGAAGCCAAAAAAAAAAAAACCAAACAAAGAAACAAAACAAAAAACAAAAACAAACAAAACAAAACAAAAAAAACCTAAACTGACCAAAGGGGGGGGGGGACTTCCTAAAATTATCTGACATGCAAGGAAAAAAAAGCTAATTTACTGTCCAAATCCTTGAAATTGCCAGTGCTCGACCTTACAACATCAAAAAGGGGGGGAGGGCAAAAGTGTCCCTCCCCGGGTTCTACGGGCCTGCAAAGACATAGAATTGAGCCAAACCACTTTTTTCTCAGATCTCGTTTTTATAAGACCTGAAATACAGCTATTGATAACAAAATAATGTTATTTTACCTGTCGCATTTCTTCTTCCTCCACAATGTCGATCCAGTTACGATCGAATTTGAGTATTTCTTTTTTAGATTTCTGAAAAAAGCAACCACACATATCATGTTTGATTTTTACATGCTCCCTGTATATCAAACATCATATGTTACAGGCCCCTGTGGGCCCTGACGCTAACCAGTAAAAAAATATTCAAATTTAGGCATCTTAATTTTATAATGATTTAAAACTTTTAGCGATTTCAATAATAAAGTACTTACAAAGTCTTTGACAGGCTCATCGCCAAAGTCTAGTATTTCTTCCATGTTCTGAAAAGAAAATGATATATCAATAATTTTCGTACTAGAAATGTTATAATTTGTTTCTAATGTAACATGATTATAAACTGCCTACATTCCCAAATAAAAAATATAAAGGTATTCAACAGTAGGGTTTGTGTCCTGGAATCTCGCCTTAAGCCTCCCCCCACCCCACCCCTCCGTATCTCCGATACAGTGGGAAACTCGAACTCTAAATACAACACCAGTAACGTCAAACTAGCTTATCCGCATATACTAAATTATATTACACTCTGTCGTTCAAAAGGCCCTGTAATTTTTGTTTTGCATTTTAAAATATTTTATTAAAATAATTTTATTTCCCAGGTGATGGAGTAGCATAGTTTATTAATTTCTACAGTAGCCAAAAACCCTCTCCGCGAAACATTGTAAATTAATTAAAACTTGAGAAGTACTTTAAGTCTTACTTGATGTATAGGTAACATGTCCATTCGGACTCCTGCCGAGCGACAGGCCAGTTCCGTAAGAATTCCTTCGATGAGTTGCTCTTTGATCATTTTTTCACTTAATGTTCCTTTCTGGAAACACAGTAAAGCTCTGCTTGATTATGACTGTGTCTTCACTACTTTTGTATAAACAAAACTGTATTATGACGTCATAGGTCATCGTTAAACACCCCATCCTGACGTAACAATACGTGAAATTGGAAATATTTTAGATCTATAAAACACTACTGTATAATTTATAAATATTTTTTTTCTCTGAAAAACCACACCTTTATCAAAAAATTAGTCTCTTAACCGATAAACAAATAATATTTGGTCAACTTAGCGTCAATATCATTTGACTTTAATGGATTTTTCAAAATTAACTTGAAATATTAGTTAATCTACTCACTTTTTCCATGTCCATGCAGAAGGATTTGATGTAATCAATCATGTATTGTGACGTCATAAGTGACACTACTTTATATAAGAAAACTAACTAAAAACTTTTCAATTATTTTTTACTTTTGAAGTACCCCCCCCCCCCTTCCCCTTACACACACACACACATATCCTCACACATACACAATAAAGCTGACAAAATATATTTTTTAAAATCTTTTTTAAAGAAAAGTCTGTTTTTAAAGAATCAACACTTTCATTTCATTTAGAATGTTTAAAAGAAGATGGGCTAACAAGGCGAGCGAAATGCCTATAGTGCTACAAACATGAAGGTGAAAAATTAAATCTCAATTATAACAAAATTTCCTTTGGTATTTAATCTAACATTAAAGTATACTTTATGCAAAGTCTCCAAAATTTACAAGAATCTCACAAAGATTGAAAATATTTGCCTTTAAAATAGCATACACACACTAAATAGGGCAAAAAGGACCATTTTCTCATACTGCAATACAATGTACATGTAACTTAGAATTTCATTCTTTTTATCGTTTTAATCTATTTCAAGCTAGTCCTTAATATATTTTAGATTTAAGAAGCATAAATATTTATTCGTAAATTCGAAATATTCCCAACTCATTGTACATTTTTTCATTGGGTCCAACTATATTATCCATTGAAAACATAAGAACATCACATTGAATTTTCATCCTTTTAAAACATAATTACGCAAAATGAAATCGTAAAACGCAGTGTAATCAGTTGGCTTTTCCATGGATGTTTTCTCTGCATAAACTATAAAGTTAATTTGTCAACTTAAAAAAAATACACACATTGTAGTGTAAATCTTATACGGTACCATTTTGATGCACCAGATGCGCATTTCGACAAATTATGTCTCTTCACTCCTCAGTGATGCTCATGCCGAAAAGTTGGAAATCCGAAATATTTAAATAAAAAAGTTTAAATTTCAGCTTTATTTATGTCTTTAATGTACTACACCAGGTGAATTATGCGTTCATTGAACACTGTAGCAGTATTTCAAGGGTGGTCAATTTGGGAATTCCATATACGACAACCAACTACTAGCTAGCAGTTACTGTCAACTGCTCACTTCTAGCCATTTCCGACTGCTTGCTACCACCTGTTCACAGCGTCTACTTATGACAGTCATTCTACGATAAATGGACCAATTCAGAGTATAAAACATGAAAAAAATAATTGTTTCAAGTAGCAAAATGAATATCATAATTCTCTAAAGGACATATCAGTGAACTTGAAAACAAAAAATTGTCCACAAATCTTTTTACAACAATTTCAAGATACCATTGATATTAAGGTAATGTTACGAAGTTAATGTTTGATCAAGCCTTATTATTTTTCAAATAAAGCTGAATTTGACCAATTTTTTTCGTTTCTGGTGTTCAGTAAAGAACGCTAAAGTATGATTCATGAAGTCTCGCATGAATCCGATTTTAATAATTAATTTTTCGGGAAAAACATCGTTACGGAAGTTAATTCCCAGCAATAAAAGTTAAAATTCTTCTCAATAGTTAAAATCAAGGTTTGTTTTAGGATATTAAACAAAAGTATGAAGCATTTCGCTCCCAAAATAATATTTTTTTTAAACCTTTAATGCAAAAACGTTCCTGAATTGCCGTTACTGAAGTTAAATTTTTAAGAGAGACAACTGCTTTTGTCTAATTTATTTTGTTATGAGGAAAATGTAATCGTCTAAAATAGATGACTCGCACCTAGAATCGATGATATAATGTTCCGTGGTCACTTTCAGATAAGTTTCAGTTCATTTTGAAATCTGCATTCTATGCGTGAAATTTAAAACAAAATCGTCACGGAAGTTAATCTGAAAATTTCATCTTGAAATTTGTAAATAAGTGAAGCGACATTAAGATTTGCAGTGGAATACGTTTTTCAACATTACATTATGTTCATATCAAAACTTTAACTGCATATATCGGTAAATATTTACAAAACCATGTGTGTATGTTCAGTTTTAGAGTTGAAATCGACCTTTAAATTTATAATTAAGATATTACAACGGTAAATTTGTAAGCGACATAAAAAATTCTTAATTGGTCATGCTTTTGTAGAATGACTGATAGATGCATGCATGTTAACAATAAGCAATGCCACTATACTAATACAGTTGGGATATGCCATTCTTAAAACGTGCATAATATCAAATTTCTGTAGCAGTCTAGTGTATATCAAACAGAAAGATTTACAAACAAGAGACCCATGGGCCACATCGCTCACCTGAGTAACTTTGGCCGTACTGTTCTTTACCAGACTTCCCCCCTTGTAATACCTATTGTGGCCCCGCCCTACCCCCGGGGGTCATGATTTTAACAATTTAGAATCTACACTACCCCAGGATGCTTCCAAATAAGTCTCAGCTTTTCTGGTCCAGTGGTTCTTGTAAAGAAGATTTTTAAAGATTTTTCTTATATATTTCAATGTAAAACCTGGATTCCCTATTGTTGCCCCGCCCTAACCCCGGGGGTCATGATTTCAACAATGGATGCTTCCACTTAAGTTTCAGCTTTTCTGATCCAGTGGTTCTTGAGAAGAAGATTTTAAAAGATTTTTCCTATATATTTCAATGTAAAACTTGGATTCCCTATTGTGGCCCCGCCCTACCCCCGGGGGTCATGATTTGAACAATTTGGAATCTACACTACCCCAGGATGCTTCAATATAAGTTTAAGCTTTTCTGGCCCAGTGGTTCTTGAGGAGAAGATTTTAAAAGATTTTTCCTATATATTTCAATGTAACACTTGAATTCCCTATTGTGGCCCCGTCCTACCCCCGGGGGTCATGATTTGAACAATTTAGAATCTAAACTACCCCAGGATGCTTCCATATAAGTTTCAATATTGCTGGCCAAGTGGTTCTTGAGAAGAAGTTTTTACAAGATTTTTCCTATATACTTCAACGTAAAACTTGGATTCCCTATTGTGGCCCCGCCCTACCCCCAAGGGTCATGATTTGAACAATTTAGAATCTACACTACCCCAGGATGCTTCCATATAAGTTTCAGCTTTTCTGGCCCAGTGGTTCTTGAGAAGAAGATTTTTAAAGATTTTTATTTATATTTCAATGTAAAACTTGGATTCCCTATTGTTGCCCCGCCCTACCCCCGGGGGTCATGATTTTAAAAATTTAGAATCTACACTATCCCAGGATGCTTCCACATAAGTTTCAGCTTTTCTGGCCCAGTGGTTCTTGAGAAGAAGATTTTTTAATGACCCCACCATATTTTTGTCTTTTCTTGATTATCTCCCCTTGTAAGGGGACTTGGCCCTTTATATTTACACTCCCCTTCACCCAAGGATACTTTGTACCAAGTTTGGTTAAAATTGGCCCAGTGGTTCTTGAGAAGAAGTTGAAAATATGAAAAGTTTACAGACGGACGGATGGACGGACAGACGGACGGACGGACGACGGACAACGGTTGATCAGGAAAGCTCACTTGCGCTTTCAGCTCAGGTGAGCTAAAAACTTTAAAATAACCACTGTACGCTTTAAAAAAATGTCACATACAAATGAAAACAATATACGGATAGAATTTTTATTTAACATTACGTGTAATTACTCTCTACACAAAACAGAAATCATATGATTGGTGAAACGTTCATCACATCAATGGGACATTCTTGTGTTGAAGCAAGATTTTTTTTAAACTCAGATTCTCAGATCAAGGACGTCAGGTGCCGACATCATCAGGCGCAGTAACTGGACTTGGTCCTCCAGAAGCTTGATACGTTGACGTAATTTTTCTGCAAATAAAATACATTATAAACGCAAAACACACTCACACACACACACACACACCCACAGAGAGAGAGAGAGAGAGAGAGAGAGAGAGAGAGAGAGATGGAATGCCTGAGTACCTATATTACATGTATTTCTGTTTATTCCACTGGTATTACCTTCGATATCATCCAAGAATCTTGCAAACTCAAATGCTGTCGGACATCGAACTAAAAAACAAAAAAGAAAAAAAATGTAAGTTCTTTTCAAGGGATATATAGGATATAAAAAAAGGAAACAGTAGTAATTTGTTAAACAGATTATAACGGTTTTATTAATGCTAATTGCTAAAACACATATCCATCACAAAATTTCCCTATCAGCACATCCTTATCTTTTCATTCACCCTCAACCTTTATTTTTACATTTATCCTGATTATTGCTAAAACGTGAAATAATGAAATCCCCCGCCCCTCCCCCCAAAAATAAATATAAATTTACTCTATAACTTTCCGTGAACAAATTAATTTGAATTTAAAAACACCTACATGCAAGAAGCTATGATCGATATATATATATATATATATATATATATATATATATATATATATATATATATATATATATATATATATATATATATATATATATATATATATATATATATATAGAATAAAAAAAACTCTACAGATTTTGGGTATCCTATTGCCCTAAATGTGCATGTAGATAAACCAGGTCATAGTTCCTTTACACTGTGTAAGATAAATCTAAAATATCTTAATTCATAGAAATTGCATGAGTATGTAGTTCCAGCATGATTTTACTTACATATCAAATTTGAAGTACAGTATACGTTCAATAGTGCATTCTTTATAATGTATCATATACTTTAGTACACTGGATAGGCACTGTATAGGTGATGGCGAATCGTTAATATATCAAAATTTACGCAAGTCTTGAGAATCGCGCACAATGAAGTTCAAAATAATGTTACTTACCACCATGACGTGCTCGATACTCAGATAACGCCCATATTCTGTCTCTCTCTGTTTGACGTTCAATGAGAGAGCGTTCTCTTACCCCCAAGTCATCCCAGCCTTGTCAGGAGTATAGACAGAAATTAAAATGATTTTTATTTTATGATCATATATGGAATACAATACAATATGAAATGTTCTACAACTTAGTTATCAATTATCATTTACCGGGTATGGCCTCGTGGATATTTGTGAATGGCCTTGTGTTTCCGAGTACTAGCCTTCTTAGTGCAGTCAATGACGAATCTGCTATAAAGGAAAAAATGGAATTAACTAGAAGTTGATAAGAATTAAGAACTTTTGACATGAACACGTATACGAGCAAAAAATTTATCAATTTGAATTAGGAAATGTGTGTGTGTGTGTGTGTGTGAAAGGGGGGTTAAGGATTAAAAATAATAATATCTCTGTCCCGAGGAGTTGTATGACTAGTCCAGTGTTAGAACTCCAATGGCAGACTTTTTACTTTTTATGTACATGTACAATAGGGATAAAATTGCTTCTTTGAAATGTTTAGATGAAAGATTTTTTAAATAGATATCCATTACCAGGTCGAAAAATAACCATTACTAACCTTTATTTTACTCTTGTTCTACATTTAGATATATCGTCGATATTGTATAAAGAGCCATAGCGATCTGATAGGCATTTTCGCCTATTCTGGTAGTGATTTTTTTAACCAAAATTTTGTTATACAATCTTAGTTTAAACATGTGTAACAGGCGCGGATCCAGGATTTTTTTTTCCAGGAGGGGGGGGGGGGGTCATCCCGGTCGAAAAAAAAAATTCCAACCCAGAAATTTCCTGACAAGCAAAAAAAAAAGGGGGTTGGTATTTTTTTTATTTGCTTCAGTATATACTTTTAATAACTCTGCAAATTCAAGGGGGGGGGGGGGGTCCTGACCCCCATCCCCCTCTAGATCCGCGCATGTGTAAATTCAAATTACAGAATAATAGCATCTAAATGTTAATAGTTCCCTTGTTTGGTTAAAGGTGGTCTTCGTATTGAAAATGAAAATATATATTCAATTTTTCTTATACTTCGTGGCACAGTGGTATGATTACATTCCCAACGTGTTCCATTTGTGTCTTTCTAATTTTTTCTGTGTGTGTGTATCTTTCTACGTTTTCTTTATTATGTTGTATAATAAACATAATAATTATTTCAAGAAATTATAATATATATACACATTACACTTTGAAAGTACCTCTGGAAAAGACAGTCCTAAAATATTTAATTAAAATGCAAATTCACAGCATCTTCATTTTTCTAAATCTTTTGTCTCAAAATTGCAGTATTGAACATGTAAACTGATTGTCATATGACATACTTGCAACTATGAAAATATAACGCTCGTCCACAAATGATATTACATAAGTTGATCTTGAATTGAAAAGGTATATCTATAAATAGAAATAGGTGATTTCCTTTTAAATTCTTGACGCAGCTATGGCTTATTCTGTTATATATCGACTCGATACATCCCAAACTCGAAATGGGGGACACCACAGAGTCTATCACATCTGTTTCATATTTGACTATTGGCGTTGGTGGCAACTGGGCACAGCCACTTAACGTTAAATAATTTAAAAAAAAAAAAAACCACCTAACAAATAATGTGGTAGGGATTATATTATTTTTGTTGTAAGAAAAACATATCACTTCAGGTGGGTATGTATAACAATCGTGACGATATGATGGATGTAACTTGGTCGACAGAGGATGCATACTCCTCAGCAGCGCTTTCATGATCAAACCTCTGATATCCAGAAGTCCATGGTTTGCGCTTTTCACGATTTTTATTGTTTACAGAATCTATGAGATCGATTATTGTAATATTCAAATTTTTCATACATAGAAAAATATAGTAAATTTACGTAGTACCCATAAATGAAATATAATTACATTGCAATAACCTAAATAAAAATTAAACTGCATGTATTCGACTTCGTTGATTTATCAGTCTAATAAATTATTACCTATAAAAAAAAACAACAACAAAAAAAAGAGACAAAAAAAAGGAAATTAAGATAGAAAATATCTCAAAAAATATAGTTGCTTACCCATGAGTTCAATAATATTTAAGAATTCGGTCGCGTATTTTTTCCCTTCTACTTTTTTTTTTTTTTTCAAATCTAACGGAGCGCAGTTTGTGACAAAAAAAAAAATAATGTGCATGAATCGTCACTTCAATTAATTTAAAATGGAGGTTCTTCTTAAACAAAAATAAGCAATAAAAATAGATTATTATTACTTTTTGATTAAATATAATGTATTTTCGGAGGGAAAAAAACTACCTTTAAAAAAATCTAAAAGAAAAATATGAAGAGAGAAAATGAGGAGTGAAAACGAAAATGTCATAATCTTTGAGTAATCTTGCTTATAGTTACTAGTATAATATGAAGTTTGCAGTAGATATGTTAGGTTATGTACGTTTGTATTTACCATCTGTGCAGTACCCTTCATTACATAATTTAGAAGTCAGTGACTTCAGAGTAGTAAAATCTTACTGAAAATACAGGTTTCTTCCGCTCCTATTTATGTCTCAATATCAAGAAGCATTCAATCAGATACACAATGTTGCAGCTCCATTTCATTTTAAGTGTTAGAACCAATTGATCCGTTTCTTTCTCATATCAATATTTTCTCTTTTTAAATCAATTTACTTTAACTATCGTTAATAAACTTAAAATACACCGTAAGGAAGAATTATTGTCTGGTCTCTGCAGTAAATGGATTATTCAAAGTATATGTCTTTCATACCTTTATGTGAAGGATTTCGAAAGATTATATTATTCCTTGCTTCTCTTAACAGAAATGGTAAAGGAAGTTTGAAATCTAGGACGTGCTATATTGTTGGCGGCAGTTATGTATTAAGTTATTTCATTTTTTGCCTCTTAAAATTACAATAGAACAATGAAATTAGTTAACATTTTTAAACAATCAATTGAAGGCATAAGACATTTCTGAAGTAACCGAAGTAACCGAAATTTAATAACTATGGATTGAAATTTTAAAATATATTAAATAAATATGATCTTACAAACAAACTAGAATCTTATTAGCTTTCGAAAGCTTTCAATCTAAGAAGAGATGTGAGCAAAATTTCAGTAAAAATGTTTTTCTCTCCTATTAAACCGTCAAAACTTTTTTTAAAAATCATTTTCTTTCCTTAAAGGCCCTCTTAACCATATGTGAAAATAAGAAAAGTTACATTTGAAATTAACTTAAATTCTCTAAAGACAGAGAACATTTTGGGTAGCCAATATCGATTTGTTGGTACATTATAATTTGATAGATCCTTTCATATTTTTACGAAAAAAGAAAAAAAATTAACATAAGGAAAAATATAATGACCTTGACCTGACCTTGCTCCTAAAATAAAACGGTCAATTTTAATTAATTGATACCATCACTTAGTGATATTGTCTTCTTGAATCAGTGAAAATTTCATTAATTTTTTTTATAAAACAATAAATATAGGAATAATTCCTCTCTATGAAAAATAACGGTGTATTTATATTGGTAACTCTTTTCATCTATATTTAGATTTTTGTTGGTTGTTAATGCTGCATGCATAATCATATCTCTAAAATATTAAGAAATTTTAGACTTTCTATGATCTTCATTTTTCCCGTCCCCCTCATAAATCTATACAATTTTTAGGACATTATTTTATTGAGGAATTTGATTGAAAAATGAAACTTTAGGCGGCTTTACTTATTCACATAACTTTTAGTTGTTATTTTCATAATCTTGAAAAAAAAAAAAAAACACATACAAAAAACTTGTGTTGAGTTTTTGTTCCGTTGAATAATTGTCTATTTTATCCCATGTTTACCCCTTTATCCCGTGGATATGACTCATTGGATATTTTTTTCATAACCCACAGTTAAGTGCAGTTGTGACGTCACAATGGTTTTTGCGTTAGCGTGATGAAGTAAAATAAAGTGGAGTCCAAAGTAAAACAGTGTAAAACATTGGTTGTGAAGTATTAAACATGGGATAAAGAGAATCTCCCATGATTTGTAGTTGGATATGACTTTTATCCAACTCGTTGTGTGTTTTTATCCCCTAGCCAGGGCTCGGGGATAAAAAAAAAACACACAACTCGTTGAATAAAAATCATATCCAAGTACAAATCATGGGAAAACCTATATATATCCTGTCTGTTCTATGAAGTATACTGGTTATTGCAGTTCCGTATCACCATACCCACGTTCAAGCAAGATTTATGACAGTCCAAGATTTTGTCAGTCTAAGAAGCCCGAGTAGTGAATAACAACTATCAAAGACGATGATAAGTGTCTTATTCTAGAACGTCCTCAACATTGATATTAATGAACAGGAACTAAATATATATTTTTAAGATAAAATAATTATAAGCTTCTTTATTTAATTTTATTAGATTTATATAAGATCGAAAATTTATTTTCATTTTATAATTAATTTCTAAAATATTACAAATAGTTTATTTACTTGCATTAATAAGATTTTTTTATTATTTAAATAAATATAAATTAATTATAAAAATTATATTTATGGGAGGTAACTCCAGTTTCGGTTTCGCTTTCGAGAGAGCCTGAGATTGTTTAGTAGTCCACCTATTCCCTTTTTAAAACATCAGGTAGGAACAGGTAAAGTTTGATGTGGGAATAGGAGGATTACTTGTGTAAACAAATAATTAACAAATGATTAACTGAATAAACTTAGAATTACTGTTTAAACAGTGTTTAATTAATTCCTTTGGAATGGGGGATAAGTGAATGAGCTATTTTTTTTTAAAATTGTAAATCTGATTTTATACTTATGTTTGAAAGAAATAGAAAATTAATAAAGTTTACATATTCATAAAGTAAATTTTTAGTTAATTAAGTGAATTAATTCATACTTTTAATTTAAATTAATTTTAGGTGATTTAAATCATATTTTCATTTAATTTTATCTTAATTCAATCAAATTTATTTATTTATTTTTTCTTTTTTGTGCACATATTCTTCTTTCTTTTTAATGCACAACGTTCTTTCTTCTTAATGAACATATTGCACAAAAAAGTGATTTCCCAATATACAGAATGCGGGTAAATCTAAATTAAATGTAATAAACCTAATTGCTATAAATATAAATGAACTATCAATACATCTCTTGTTATTTGCATGTGGGAATAGGTGGAATTGTGATTTTTAAAAAGTGGGAACAGATCCTAAGTGACAGATACAAGGTCAAGGATAAAAATAT